GCTCCCTGGCCCCACGCCCCGACCCCGCGCCCCCGCGCCCCCGCTGCGGCCTTTACCGAGGACGCAGACTCCACCTTCCGCCCAGTACGAACTTCCCGCCGCTCGAGCCGACTGCAACCCCAAGGCGCCGCCGGCCTGTCACACTCCGCAGTATGGCGCCTTCTCATTGGCTCTGAGGGAGTTGGGGGCGGGGCGGGAAGACAGCGCAGGGGGCGGAGCCTCGCTTCTCCCGCCGGCCCCCGGAATGCCGGGAGCTGCGTCCGGCGCCCCCGCTGCATGCTGGGAATTGTCCTCTCTGAGCGGCGAAGGGAGGTCCCGTGGGCTTCTGGGAAATGTAGTTTATTTATGGGTCCCATTTTGATTCTGTCCTGATCTACCAAGGTGTTGTAAATGGTAATAAATGCGACCAGTGTTCGGTAGTAACCTGCCGTACTGAATAGATGTGCTAGCAAAGGTTGGATGTGAAAGTTCTCACTGCCGGGGGGGTCTTCCAACCTCCTGTTTCTCCCACCCTGTGACGCCTACCCTATCCCCAGCTTGACTCAGGGAGCAGACAGACTGGGGTGCAAACCCCACCTCCTAAAAGGAGTAGCAGAGGGAACCTCCTAAAGGCAGCCACTTCACCTCGGAGGGCATTTCCTGTTTCTGTAAGGTTGACGTGAGATCACCTAATTTGCTCGCAGTAGGTGCTCAATAAATAGTAACCAGTAGCAGTGTTATTGAAAAGCATCCTGGTAGCGCAGTAGTAGAAGTGAGTTGAGTGATTGGAACCCGCCAGATGCTCCACGGAAGACGTGGCAGTCTGCTCCACGACCACGACAGCCTTGGAGAGCCTGCAGGCCAGCGCTGGTCAAAGTCGACTCAAAGTCAGTGGGTGTGGCATCTGGACAGGAGCCCTGGTGGCACAATGGACTTGTCTGAAAGGTCAGCAGACCCCTTCTGTGAAAATGCTCAGTCTCAAGAAACCCTAAGGAGCAGTTCTCTGCCCTCTAGGATTGTAAAAAGGTCAAGGGTTGCCAGGGGGTGGGGCTGGTGGAGGGACGAATGAGTGACACATTTTAAGGACCTTGGCGTTATTCTGCTTCCTATAATGGAAGATACTTGCTATTTTGTCATAGCCAATACAATGTGTACAACGCAAAGACGAAACTCATGTAATCTGTGGAGGTGAGCCAATAGTAATGGATCCATTACTAGCTTAGAAGAAGGACCACGGGAATACCCCTTAGGCACGAGGATGGCTCTATGTACAAGAGGGGCTGGGTCTGGAAAGTGACATCATGTTAGGCACAGCATCCGAGAGAAAGAAGAGGCTCAAAGACCTGGGCCGGCAGGGCACGAACAGTTGTGAGCGCAGTTCGCCTCTCACTGCAACAATGTATGACCTATCTGTCAACCATAACAAATTGTTTTAGAGGGCAAAAGACCCCTAATCCAAGCACATCCTTTAGAGATCCTGTTTATTAAGCTTGACCGGGACAAAAATAATTTATCGCAGAAGGAAGGAACTCATTAGCATGTATGGACAAAAATAATTTATCGCAGAAGGAGGGAACTCATTAGCATGTCTATAACACAGAGGTGGGGATTAGTATGAGCCTAATTATAGGTGGGAGGCAACAAAGGGAATCCTCACAAAACCATGATGAGTGTCAGGGCAATTCATCTCGGTGGAGACAGGACTGCAGAAGGAGTCCTGAGTGGGGCATGCACACAGGACCAGACACATCAAACTCACTGCCATCAAGGCGGTGCGACTCCTAGCGACCTGTAGGACAGGGTAGAACTGCCCCCTGTGAGTTTCCGAGACCGTAACTCTACAGGAGTAGAAAGCCCCTTCTTTCTCGCTCAGAGGGCCTGGTGGTTTAGAACTGCTGGCTTGCATCAGGTGCACTTTACATCCTTGTTCTCAACACTTTGAAGAGGCTTTGTGCAGCAGAGTGACCTTGTGTAATTCTCTCCACCACAGTGAAGTTGGTTCTGGCTCACAGCGACCCTAGAAGACACAGTCAAACTCCTCCCTAGGGTTTCCAAGGCTGAATTTCTCCACTGCTGCTTACATGAGCATCTCACGTGTGTCCAAATACAAGGAAATCCTCTACAACTTTAACATTTTACGAATGGGATGCAGTTCCCCATCATTTTTGTCATCCCTGGCACGGTCAACCACATGGTTGTCCAATCCAAAGCACCAACACCAGTCCATTTGAGCTCACCAAAGTCCAGCTTCGAAACATTGCCAGACACTGAAGGCCGAAGGAATGGAAGCAGAACTTTGTTGGCGATAATGCCAGAGATTTGGCACTCCAAATTTGACTGATGAGAGCCAATTTCTTGGAGTGGAGCCGACCACGGGGACATGAAGCATCTTCATTTGCTCCCGGGGCATGACTCACAGTAACAGCTGCAAAAACCTGCTAATGATTGGAACGTGAGGTGTGAAAAGTATGAATCCAGGAAAATTGGAAGTCGTAACAATGAAGTGGAACACATAAATATGAACAACCTGGGCATCGGAGTACTGAAATGTACCGGCATTGGCCATTTTTAATCAGAAGATCGTATGATTTACGATGCCGGGAATAACCCAACCAAAAGGACTGGCATTGCAATTCATTGTCAAAAAAGACATTGCAAAATCAATCAAGAAGTACAATGCTGTCTGTGATAGGATTTTCTCTGTTGTAAACGGGCAAGATCAACCACACTACTATATTAATAATGAAAACCTGTATCCAACAGCTGGACCAAGAGTAGGGTACCTCCTGGGAATCTCTTGATCCAGAACACAGAAATTCCAAACTTTTTATAGTTCCAAATAGGGAGCTGGCTCAAGGGGAGGGATATTCTAGCCATTACACTCCTATCAGGTTGTCAGGGTCACAGGTTGGGGGGCACAGCACAGCTGCAGGTGCTAATCCAAGGTCTTACAAGACCGTGTACATTTCTTGCTAACTGGGCAGACAGAGTTTAGAGATGGCTCAGAGGAGTCAAGCAGGGTCTTGTTGGGAGAGCAGGGAGAGGGAAGAGGAGAAGGAGGGATAAGCGCTAGCAGGGGTTAAAGATGGAGTTTCTCATATTAAGCTAGGTGACTGCACTATCTGTCCACCTTTGAGGAAATCTAATCAATACGAGTATTCAAACTTGTGCATCACTAATAAAAGTTAGTAAGGGAGAGATTGAAGAATTCTACCAATGTCATCAGTTTGAAACTGATCAGACATGCAATCAAGATGTATTGATCACTATTGGCAATTGGAATGCAGAAGTTGGAAGCAAACAAGAAGGAACGTAGTTGGAAAACAGAAACGAAGCTGGAAATCGCATGACAGAATTTTGCAAAACCATCGACTTGTTCGTAGCAAATCCTTTTTTCAGCAACACAAAAGGCAACTATACACATGGATTTCTCCAGGTGGAACACACAGAAATCAAATTGGCTGCATCTGTGGGAAGGACGATGGAGAAGCTCAGTATCCGCAGCTAAAACCAGGCCAGGGGCCGACAGTGGAACAGACCATCCACTGCTCCTATGCAAGTTCAGGTTGAAGCTAAAGAACACGAAATTAATTCCACAGGAGACAAAATAGAACCTTGAATCTATCCCACCCAAATTTCTAAAACATCTCAAGAACACATTTGACTCATTGATCACTAATGACAGAAGACCGGATGAGCTGTGGGAGGACAAGACCATCATGCATGAAGAAAGCAAAAGGTCATTAAAGAGACATAAAGAAAAGATAACATGGATGTCAGAAGAGACTCTGAAGTTTTCTCTTAATCATCGAGTAGGCTAAAGCAAATGGAAGAAAAGACAAAGTCAAAGAGCTGAATAGAAAGTTCCCAAGGGCAGCTCGAGAAGAGAAAGCCAAATATTATAATGAAATGTGCAAAGGTCTAGAGTTAGAAAACCAAAAGGAAGAAGATGTTCAACATCTCTGAAGCAGAATGAACGCAAGGAAAAATTCAAGCCTCAAATTGCAATATTGAAATATTCAATGGGCAACTTATTGAATGATTCAGGAATCACCAAGAGATGATGTAAAGAATACATAGAGCCGCTGTACAAAAAAGAAATCGTTGACGGTCCACCATTTGGGGAGGTGGCACATGAGCAAGAACCAGTGGTGCTGAAGAAAGAAGTTCACGCTGCCCTGAAAGCATTAGCCAAAACACAAGGCTCCAGGAATGGATGGACACCAATTGAAATGTTTCCACAAGCTGACGAAGCACTGGAAGCACTCATCCATGCCAGGACATTTGGAAGACGGCTACTTGGCCAATGGACTGGAAAAGACCCATTTTTGTGCCCGTTCCAAAGAAACGTGCCCTACAGAATGTTCAAATTATAAAACAGTATTATTAACATCACATGCAAGTAAAATTTCTGAAGATCGTCCAACAGTTGCAGCACAAGCGAGAACTGCCGGAAGCCAAGGCTGGTTTCAGACGAGAACATGCTCTCATCGCTGATGCTGGATGGATGTTGGCTCAGAGCAGAGAATCCCAGAATGATGCGTCCTTGTGTTATTGCCGCTCTGTTTATGGGCCATGTGGATCATAAAAAAACAAACTATGAATAACGTTGAAAAGAATGGGAATTCCAAAACACTTGATTGTGCTAATGAGAACTTCATGGATACCTGGATCAAGAGGCAGTCGTACAAATGGAACAAAGGAATACTGCATGGTTCAAAGTAGGATCGGTGTGCGACTGGGTTGTATCCTCTTGCCAATACTTACTCAATCTGCTCAACAACTCATCAGAGAAGCTAAATTATATGAAGCAGAATGTGGCACTAGGATTGGAAGAGGGCTTCTCAACAACCTTGATCTGCAGATAAAACCGCCTTGCTTGTTGAGCGTGAGGCGGAATTGACGTGCTTGCTGATGATTGCGTCATCATGGATGGCGGCCTTCAGTGGGGATCACAACTCAATGTCAGGAAGACCAAAACCCCCACCTCTGGGCTAGTACGTCATAACATCTGATAAGTGGAGGACAGGTTGACGTCGTCAAGGGCTTTGTCTTACTTGGACCCACAATTAAGGCTCCCAGGAGCAGCACCCAAGAGATCAGAAGATGCATTGCGCTGGGGAAAGCAGCAGTTGTTTGTTGCTG